CGTTGCAATAATTCACAAACGTTTGTAGATGCAAAATAGATACAAAATAAGAGATTTCCGAAGCACTCTAGGCCGCATAAATCAGTTAGGTGTTCATTTTTCTACTTATTTATGTTCAATTCACGGCTATTAAAAACTAGGTTATAAAACCCAAGCAAAACCAATGTATCCAATTTAAAAGGCAAGCTAGATACAATAATTATCTCCAATAAAACTACAGGAGTAAATTTCAAAATATAAATTACTAAAGTTTAGGTATTGCTTACTCTTACAAAAATAAAAAAACAACGCTTTACACTGATCAATAATTGAAGAAGTAAAGTCATGTCAACAATAGTAACCAGTTGTACGAGTCTTCGTGTCTAGACTCAACAACATACTCCGAATGATCTTAAATTCAACTATTCTAAAATGGACTAACAAGAAAAGCTGGATAACTCTTAACTAGAGGATATGGGAATAATATATGGACAGATCAGAAAAAAATTAAATAGCATTGATATCAGAATATAAACATTAAGCATATTCGAAAGATCGTATGTGGGTAAAATTAGTCATAACTTAGATGATGTCAGCAGAGCGGCATTCAATAAAAGTTCCGAATAAACGAAAGACGATTTGACTAGCTTAGAGGAATTTCATGCGGTGAACAGAAGAAGTAAAAAAGACGAAAACAAAGGCTTACCTACAGAGATATCGAGGCCAGTCACACGGCCCGGGAAGCAGATTTCATCATGATTAAGATCCTCCTTGTGGTGCCATATGCGTAAGCGCCTATCGTAGTGACCACTGATTACAAGTCCAAGGAGAGGACAAGCTACTACGTCTTGACAGGCCGAGGTAGTTAATAATGTTTTAGTGCAAACTCTTTTTTCCAGATCCCAAAGCTAAAAAGATATTAAAGGCAACAAAAAATCAAAATATTTAGATACTTTTTGTCCTGTAAATTGTTCTAAGAGTCCCCTCAACCAACTTGTATCGAGAATAAGATGCTTAATCTTAACTCGATAAGACTTCACCTGCATGCGAAGGGCCAATCGATTTTAAGAAAAAACGATGATATCTAGTAACTTAGAGACTGTAAATATGACCACATTTCTGTCCTTAGTATTAGAAAGTTGAGGAGATAGGACGTAGTAAAATATTTTTAAATGAATTGTCTGCAGTCTGCGAATTTCGGTGCAGGCTAAGGTAAGAAACGGTCGTATTTTTCTACGAATGGAAGTCTTTTTTAACTAATACGAAATGTTACACCGAAACAAGCCAGATAATATATATAGACATGCAAATAAGATCAGAAAAGCAGATTAGTTACCAAATTACCAATTTAAGATGGAATATAAGCTGCATTCAACTTAGGTCGCATGTGATAAAGGACTAATAGTTTTCCACATTAATGAATGAGACTTACTCATATCATTGCAGGAAAATTAAACTATCGAACCATTATCATGCGACCCACGGTGAACGAACCAATTATTCAATATATACTGGTAGTTTGGAAACTTAATCTGCTCTCAAGCCAAATTTATGAAATTATTT